AGATACACCAAATTCTGGAAAGAGTGAAGAAAGACAGAGAACATCAATGGTGGGAAACTTTCTTCTGATGGTCACCCACAGCTACAGGAAGTCTAAAGAGTATTTCATCCTGTTGTTGTTTTATTGATATTAACCCTTTCATTTTTTTGTGTATTGCTTCAAGCTTGTTTTGCAGCCAGTGTGCTATCAACAGCACATAAGGGATTTGATTCAGTGATGCTGTCAGCATGGGTCCCTGAACAGGTTAGTTAAATCACCCTCTGATACAGTGGGCTGTCCAGTAGTGCTCCCACAATAGGACACAGACAGGTTGGTCAGACACAAGGGTTTCATCCTTCTTGGAACACTGACATGCTGATCAAAAGGGTTCAGTGAACCCCCCCCCCCCTTATAATGTGACAATGTGGTCTAAGCCATAGGGGTTAGTAAGTACTGCTTTGGATTCTGTATGTACATCAGTGAACATAAAGTGCCACCCACCTCTGCCCTCCAGCAGCACCAAAGCTCCTCTTCATCTACTGTCAAGATGTCAGAGCAGAGGCTCGTAGGGCTTCTGTGTTGGCTGCTGCACTAATTATTCTGTTTTTATTGGTCATACTGGGTTGCATTCCAACCTGCCTGGCCCTTTAACTCTGCAGTTGCTTCACATTCCTTTTTTTCATCAGAATGCTGCTGCTTTAAGGAGGCAGTTTAACCTGTCTTCTTCTCAAGCAAAGCAGATTTTTTCAGGTCTTGCCCTGACTGTCAGTCAACAGCTCAGTCCTCATTTGCCAAGTGTGTAAATCCTTGTGGCTTAAAGGCAAATGTGATATTGTGATCCTTTGGGCCTGCAGAAATGGGTAGGGCCAGTGGAACTGATAACCTTGGGGAGGGGGTATATTTGTGTCCTCCTACCTACAGGTCTGCAGTGGCTGCTTGCAAAGTTTGTCAAGCCATACTGTGAGCTGGATAGACAAGTTGAAGAACCCCATGCCTCAGCTGCAGGAGCTGACCTTGAAGATGCCCAGCAGAATGTGTCAGAGGAAGAGAAAAAGGAATGATTTGTAAAACATCACTTGGGGGCAACTGAAAAGTAGTAACCTGAATATGTGTGCTTGCAATGTAACTATTATTAGAGGCTGTGATTTTGTGTATAAACCACCTGTATTTCCTACCCAGTTGCTAATAAGAAACTACACCTTGTATGAATTTGTCACTTGTAAAAGAGATAATGTCCTGGGTTTAGCAGTGGCAGTCATTTTTCTCTTTCTTGGTAGCTGGTGCAGTGCTGTGTTTTGACTTTCGGGCTGGGAACAGAGCTGAAAAAAATGATGTTTTGGTTTGGCCAAGGACTTTGTGAGCCTCATGCTCTGCCAGGGAGGAGGGGAAGCCAGGAGGAAGCAGAGACAGGACACCTGACCCAAACTGACCGAAGAGGTATTCCATACTACAGCACGTCATGCCCAGGATATAACTGGGAGTTACCCAGAAGGGCTGGGTGGACGGCAGGGTTGGAGGAGGTATGGGTTGGTGCTTGGTTGGGCTGGGGGGGCAAGTTATTGGTCGCCTGGTGATGGGGTGCTGTATTCTGTTCCCTTGTTATTTCCTTTATCATTACTATTATTGGTGGTAGCAGTAGTGATTTGTGTTATACCTTGGTTACTAAACTGTTCTTATCTCAACCCCTGGGAGTTGCTTTCTTTTTGATTCTCCTCTCCATCCCTCCAAGAGTAGGGGGAGGGCAAGAAAGGGGGGGAGTGAGTGAGTGAAAGCTGTCTGGTTGGGGTTAAACCACGACAGATGTTTAGAGCATACATTCACAGCAGCTGCTAGAAAATGGTAAGGCAGAAGCTAGAAATATTCTAATACGATGGTAGTGTTATAAAGCAGGGAATGGAACCAATTAAGAGGGTGGGAGAACCCCACTGGCGGGAAATTTTCTTTGGCTGGTCCCCTCTGCCACCAGCATCTTCAACATGCTGCTGCACCCTGTAGTAGTTGTACTGCTAATGTAAATGTGTGTGTGCTTCGCCATCCTAATGACTTCTTACTGGGTGAGGCAGGTGATACCGTGCATTGACAATGAGGTGCAAGGACTGAAGCTGGCTGATTGCCTCTTACCATAGTCAAGGGGAAGACTGGGTTAGCCTCTGTGTTTGCCACCAAGAAGAACCTTTAGCTCCACTGTTGGCTGCAACCCAGCAGGCACTGAGCAGTGGGGACACATGCTGTGCCAGACCTTGATGTGAGGCATGGCCTCCTCTAAGAGGGCCATCCAGGAGGAAAGGGCAGGCCAAGCACCCTATGGTTGGCACGAGAGATGATCTGCCGGAGACTCTATGTCGTCGCGATGCGGAGGGAACACAGCACAACCAGTCGGATTGATAAAAGTGATCCATTTATTCTGCTTAAGCCTGGGGTTTATATAGAGCTAGGCTGTTATTCACACATATTCTTGGGAAACTTCTGTGGTTTCATTATTTACAGGCACATCCCGTTTTCTAACCTCCTTATTCCTCCCTTCAAGATACTCGTTAACTACAAGGTCAGTTTGCCCCTATGCACAGCTGGTGTTTTTTACCGAGCTGGGTTTCTTACTGACTTTTACAAAACTGGTCCCTGGCCAAATTCAGCCATGGGAACGTAACCCTTGCCTGCCAACCACGCTTCCACAATGATCTAGTCTAAATCCCCTGCTCAAGTAGGGTCATCTAAAGCAGGTTTCATCATTAGCATAAGTAACTATTACAAGTAATAATATAATAAATAATTATTGTATTTGAATCTTCTGTTTTCAAAGGCTGATGTCAAGAAGCTGCTCTTGTGTGATTTAAGATTCCTTAAGCAGATAAGGGGATAAAGAAAGCCAAGGACTGTGTCTTTGGAAGTAACAGCATCTATCTCCAGGTTCCCAAGACTCCCAGTATATCTGGCCAATGCATTGGTGAAACCTTGTTTTTGGAGCTTGGACATCACCACTTTGCTTTGCTTTTCCTCCATGTCATCTAGAGACTTGTTACCAATTTGCAAGGAACCGAAGCCAAAGTGGTTGCCGCCTTGATTGTGCAAAACAAAATAGGGCAGCAATTGATTTTTTTGCTTTTAGTACATAAATATAGGTGGAAGACTTTTGACAGGTTATGGTGCATGAATTTAAGTGACCAGTCCAGTTCAATACATGCATAAATACAAAAGTTGAAGATCCTCGCTAGCCAGCTAGTACAAAACATCAAGTGGAACACCTTTCAGGGATGGACATAGAGGGGTGGGACTAGCTGAGAAAAGCTGTTGTATTATTGTTAATAGGTATTGAGTTTTTACCTGTGTTGTTTCCTTGTCTTTTAGCTCTAACCTGTTCCCTTATAGACAGTATATTATACAAAACTGTAGTACGGAAGGTAAAATACTTGTGTGTTCCAACTATGGATCACGGGGTGGCATCTGTCAGTGACACTAAGTAATAATTCGTGGTGGAAGACACGAAAATAGAGAAGTACTGTTTAGCCGTGGTAGCTCCTCCCCGGAAGGTCCAGCATTGGTTCCTACCAGGAAAAGTTCCGCTTTAGAACTCCCCGGAAAAGTCCCGACCCTTGCAGGCCTTTCTAGATATTGCTGGCCCCCTACATCAGAATGAGTGTGTATTTTTCTTAGTAGCGAGACAAGGAGGCACAAAATGTAATCAGTTCTAAGTATTGTTAAGTGTGATGACTTTGTAATGGAAAATAACTGCGGTGCTTGAAGGTAGTTGACATAGTTTTAGGTCCTTAGGACATTAATACAACAAGTGTAAGAAAAGCAGAATGGAAAAACAGGACCTGGGGATGGGGAGTATCTGGGACTAGCAGATGTCCAGGGTGGACACAAATAAACTAACTGGTAAGGAGAAGGACGATTGCTATGTTTGGTGTTAATAAAGCCATTAAGCTGGTGTAAACATCTACTGGGGAGTATATCCAGGAGTAGCTTATGTCCAGGATGGGAGCAGTTAAACTAACTGATAAGTAGAGGGACAGGATGATTGCCATGTCTGTATTGTTAATTAACTGGTGCTTCAAAGACTGTCAGAAGTTATGAAGATTGTCGGGAGGAGTAAACGACCCACAAAGACCACCATCACATTTCATATGCATGCAGGAAACTTTCTGGAAAATGATGTAATTCATGTGTAGCCTCATGAGTATGTACGTAATATGCCCAGTGACCACATAAGGATGGCCTATGTAGCAATACGGGGACACACATTAGGAGGAGCGATCCGCCGTGTCTCCCAGCGCCGCAATAAAGAATACCTGCTTGTCAACTTGGAACTGTTTGTGAGTTTGTTCCTGGAGTTTTCTCCGAATCAGTATGAAAGCCTCAAGCTGTGCGGATAGGCAGAACCTCATGCCACCCGGGTCAGCGTTGCCTCCGCGGGGACCTCCGCTAAGATTGAGCCTGCCCACTTCGCACTGCGATGGTATGTCTTGGTTTCCTGATCTTCATCACATCATCTTTGGGGTTGGTAAGATAACCAAACATCAGAGAGATCCTTTACTGTATCTTTTGTCACCTCTGTATTTTTCCTGTATTAATAAACTAGTTATGATTCTTTATTGCGTTGCGTGTCTCCCAATCCGGAACCCTCGAACCCCGGAACACTATGTCACCTTTCCGCGACACTCGCCCCCTTCTCAGCGCGTGACTGGCGCCTTAAGAGTGACGCCACGGGGCGCAGCCAATGAGCTCGAAGCGCGCGCAGAGAAGAGTGTGCGCAGAGAAGGGCGTGAGGAGGATCGAGCGGAGCGGAGTTATTATGGTAACGGTCGGAGGTGGAAGGCTGTGGCTTCTGTTTCTACCGCGGGATCCTGACTGCCTTGCGGCTCTGCTTCCCTGGCCTCGGTGGCCGAGCGGAGCAGCTCCGCGGAGGCAGGGCAGCCGCGGCGCCGAGGGGGGGAGGCAATGTTTGTCAGCCGTTACGGCCGTGGGGCGGTGAGGAAGGGCTGCGCTCAGCCCAGGCCTGGTGGCGGTGACCGCCCTTTTCGGGTGTCTCTGACGCCGGTGTAGCTCTGGGGTTTGTGCCGGGGAGAATGGGAGCTCCCGGCCTGACCTCCTTTTGTGATGTTGTTTGTATTCGGTTTTTACCCTTCTTCCTGAAGTGAGCTTCCGGTTTTGTGGAGTTTTGTGTCGGCTTGTTTGTGGGTTTATTGTTTGTTATTGTTCTTCCTATCGGTTTTCCCATCTCTGAATTTCTTCATGTAGTTTTGTATTTATTGATATGAATTTTTTTTTGTAAGTCTTGTCTATTCACTTGGCTGGTATAGAGCCTACAGTACACACTTGGCCCTGTGTATTTTTTTACCTAATTGAATAACTGAAGTAAGTAAGTAACATCTTGGAACTGGATCACACAAATACTAATGACATGCAAAAGAAAAAGCATGTCAGTTGTTTGTTACAGTGTACAAGTAAAATCTTAATTTTACCATAGAGAAGTACGGAAAAATGCAAGGTACGAACAGTATCTGAATGTGACACTTGGTTGTATGTGCCCTGGGTAATTAACAGCACAGTTTTGGGGACCACAAGTCAGGCTGGCTTGTTTTATAGAGGCCTGTAGTGTCTCCTAATATATATACATTAATAAAATCATGATAATTCAAACATTTGGAGGTGGGGTTTTGTCTGTACTCAGAGACTTATTTCATACAAGGCTTTCATATTGCTGGAGTACATTATTGCAGGGAAGCATGAGATTGGGACTATTATATTCCACCCCAAGACACCTTTCTAATTTCCTAAGGTTGTATCTTCCCCCTGCCATTTCCCACCCCCTTTTTTTCACTTTTTTTTCTTTCACTTTTCCTGCCTCTTTTTTCTCTATTATTTTTCCTCTTTTTTTCCCCTCTCCTTTTTTTTTTCCTCTCCCCTCTTTCCTTTCGATCCTCTCATTCCTCTTTTCTGTCCCCTCTTTCTACTCATTCCCCCCCTTTCCCCCTCTCATCCCCTTTTTCCCCTTTCTCTCCCCTTTTCCGCCACCTTTTTTTTTTTTCCTCTCCCTTTTTTTTTTTTTTTTTTTTTCATTTGCGCCTTCTTGGCTCTGCTGCTGAGCCTTTTTGCTGTGTTGAAAATTATCTTTTCAGGGCTTATTATTTATTTGTTTGTCTCCTTGGTAGTGTTTGGTCTGAGAAGAAAAGTGTGTTGCATCTCATAACAGCTTAGTTTCTTTTATTAGCCCCCTGTGGGGAACTTTACTGGAGGCATTTCAGAAGTCTTAATAAATAATGTGAACTAGTTCTTTGTGATGTTATGGAGACATTTCAAGACTTAAGACGATAATGATTTTTCTTTGCAAAATCTCTGCTTGTTAGACCTTATCAGATAATGGCAATCCAGATTTTCTAGTGCTCTGTTTTTAATTATTGATGCAACAAACTTGCCAGGAAGGCTAAGTAGTGCTCCATTTCTCTAGAATGCTTCCAGTGTTCAGTGAGACATTCTGATTTTTTTCTTAGCCATTTGGCATATTTGAACTTTGGAGGTACTAGTTGAATATTTCACTCATTTTAAATTATTTGGGTTTTCAACATAATTTGCTGCTTTTTTTCCTGAAGGTTGAGTCGGAATTTGTGCATCATTAAGAAGGCGGAGATGTTTATTTCTTCTTTAGATATTTATCTTTTTTAATGTCTCTTTCTAATCTCAAAATATTTGGTGGTTTTAGCAATGCCTTTAAGTATCTTTAAAGGCTTCCTGCATCTTGTACATTTAGGAAATTCCTGTTCATAGTTCTACCTTACAGAAATTTTCCTTTGAATACCATTTTCACCCTTCTTGGTTTTCCCTCTTAATTGCTGTTTTCAGTCTGGTATTTCTTTATAGATTGAACTAGCATTAAATTCCTGAACGTGTATATGTTTCTACCTGACCCAAGAGTTTTGCAAACTTTTTAATTTAACTTAGGTTTATTTTTTTCTCTTGGTTATCCTTATGCCCTCTTTCATTGATTGCCTGCATATCTTTCAGGTTCTTTTGTTTGGGGTTTTTTTGAGTAACCTGCAGGACACTTCACTTTTGTTTGTCAAAAATACTCTGAATTTAAGTTCTCCTGTCATAAGGAGAACTAGATTAGGTCATTTACTGGACGACAGAGCAGAAATAACTATGTTTAAGGATTTTGCAGATTTATGAAAGAAAAGCATGGCTTTATAGATGTGAGATTCTCTTATTCTTTAATAAAGTTGTCAGAAATAAAAACTGCCATTACAGTTAATGTAAGCAATTTTTAATATTTAGGTCTTTGTGATTCAGTTTTAAAATCATGATTAGGACCTTCAGATTTTACTATAGTCATATAGTTAGCCAAGTTTACTGAATGATTGGGTGCTATCTAGAAATACAGGGGAGTTAACTGAAAGTTTTGTATCTAGAGGGTTTGCTCTGTTACCTGCTATTTCAGGTCAAATACATATGTTTCAGTAATAATCATTGTTAATTATTGTAGAGCCACATGATAATTGTTCTGTTTGCTTGTCAATTAGGCGGAAAGTTTACAAGAAAACCCTGATGTCTCAGTTTGTTATGCAGATGCCAAGCAAGAAATCTTGGATGAATGCGAGAGTGTTTGGAAGCAGATGGAAGAGGTATGCAAATCACAAGTGATAGACTAGATTGTTTGTAAACTTTCCTCAGCATTTTATGTTTATCTCCCCATCCTTCACTGCATCTTTACCTCACCCCTGCAAAGAAACAAAACCAGTAAATAAGGGGGCGAGGAGGAGGTGGGTGGGTGTGCAGGGAGAAGAAAAGATTTTCAGACAGGTCAAAGACAGAAGTACTGGCAGGGATGAACAATGCTGAGTGTGCTGATCCTTTGATTTGATTAGAGTGGGAGTATATGTTAAAACTAGGAAAAATTAAACAATATACTATTTCTGGTACTACCAGCACACTGAGACTTGTGATCCTTCTCTCTTTCTCCTCATGCAAGATGGGATTGAACAGCTGTTCACAAGCTATTTGGATCTTAAGGGAGAGAGAAAGGGATGATAAAGAGGCTTTGAAGGGTTGTGTTGTTAACATATGCTCATGCAAACTCGCATCCTTGGGAATAAAATTTTTCTCACTTGATATATGGTTCACTGTGTTAATAAGACATTGTAAGGCTAGTTATTTTTATTTACAGGAATCCCAAGAAAGATACTTCAAACACGTCTGAGGGAATGCTGTGCATCCTATAAGATTCTGCTGAGTCTGATGAAGACTCGAGTTATCAATTTCTATTTGGAGAGTCTCACACAATTTTATGTGGTTTTAAGATGCTATTTGTGCAAGTTTCGAAATGTAGACTCAAAGCAATTAAATTATCTAAAACTGAAATAAAAATACTTCAAAATTTACAATAGAACAAACTATAGACAACCCACAGTGCAGGGTTGGTTTTTTTTACAGATTTTATAAAAAATATGATTTTACAGAATTAGATCTAAAAACTAATGCCATTTTTTAAAATTTGTTTTTACATGTAAACTTGTCTTAATATTGAAAAAGTGGTAGGGAATCCTGTGTCTAGGTTTATGAAGTACTGTAAGAAATTATCGACAGAAGTTTTGTTTGACACCACTTCAGAGGGTATGAACTTTATTCAGAATTTTCAGATTAGAAGGGAAGTTAGAATATTTGAATAATTTTGCATTCAGTTGGAAATCTTTGCTATCTTGCTTCTCATTCTCAGCATCCCCATAATAATACAGGGAGTGCTAATACATGGTATTTTAGAATGAGAAAACCATGTTTTTTATTACTTTGTTGCTTCCTGGATGCATGCATTTTTAGCAAAAAGTTTAAAAAAGCTAATAGCAATTGAATTAGCTCATAGATTATATGGTTTACAATGTAATGTTCCAATGATTTTGTCAACATTAGCAGTTTTTATTGGAGAAATCCTATATATTGTGTTTTCTTTCTAAAACATTAACTGGAAAGTTTCTAAAGTACTGCACAGTAGTTTTATTGCTTGATGGAATACATCCTGCCCTCTCATAGGGCAGGTTAGTTTGCTGACAGCTATAAAACAAGAAGGAGGTTAGCAGGTGTCTCCTGCCGAAGCCTTGGATATCTGTGGTGGTCTGAATTTTCAGACTTGATACAGATCCCGATGCAGACATGGGAGCTGATGTAGTACATTTCTGAAAATCATACTTGAAATGTATAGTATGTTGTCCTAAATGAGTTAAAACTAAAAATGTGTACCTTAATATGATTGCTTTGCTTGGAGAATCAGGATAGTAGCAGGAAGCGTGTCAATTTCATGTCAGCTTCTCTGTTCAGCCTTGTTCTTTACTCTGTTTTCCTAGTTTCTCTGGTTCTTCTTCTGTTCAGTGTCTTTCCCCGTATCACCTTTTCCCATGCAACTTGCCTTTTTCCTCAAATGATATATCTTCTGTTAGCTGCTAAAAAATTGATTTTAAATCAATTGAAACTCTTTTACTGTGGTTTGGTTTCAAAATATTTCTTCCTTTGCTGTTCTGGGTCAGGCTCTGGGGGACGTGGGAGCCAACTCAAAACTTTTATTCCAATATTAAACAAATTTTGTAATTTGCAAGGATCATGTCCCTTTCTTACCAAAGGGAAGAGTAAATAAACACTGTTTTTGTTTTGTTTTGTTTTCCTACCAAGTGTCAGAGGAAGCTAAAGGGTCTACAAACAGGAGCATTGCCAAAATCAAATCCCAAGGTAAGACAGTATTTTTTTCATATGCTTCACAAAATACTTAGTTTCCTGTAAAGATGTGCTGTGTATCCTAAAGAAGGAAATTAAAGTGTTTTCACTTATTCTCTAAACATGACAACTCTATTGTTACTAACTTTGAAACTGTATTCTGTAGTATGTTGTCTAGCAAATACTGAAAAATTGCATTTATGAATAGCAAAAAGGTTGTATGCAGTCCTGACACACAACTGATAAATTATTAACACAGGCAGCAAAATGGAGGGCTGTGTAACTTCAATACCCATTTGGACTATTTCCTAATCATTGCATATGTAATTTGTGAAACTCTGTATGCCTCCCTTCAGTTTTACTCTGGAACAACTTTGTATTTGCCAACTGTAGTTGTTCTCTGCTTGTGGATATCATTAGGAAATGGATGTGCTTGAAATGGAAACAAACTGTGATGCTAAAAGCATGAACATGAGCTCCTGTAGCTCACAAATTTTGGGGAGCGTGCAAAAAGGCAATGCTGGCTCACAGTTTAGTTATTTTTAAATTCTAAATAGGAACCTTTAAAACACAGTTTATATGAGGACTCCAAATTTGGAAAGTATGAAATACGCAGGTCTTACAAATCTCCATCATATATTATTTCAGTAAGAGAATTCAGTATAAAATTCAATACACTTGATTGAATAATTAACAAAAAGAACTGTTCCGCTATCCATTGAATACATCAGATCTGTAATTATTATGTAATTACTAATATTAATCTCTTGTTTGAAATAAATATGTTCTATTTAATCATAATAAATGAAGATTCATATTTACATAAAATACAATTATATTCTTCATTATTTCAGATAAAATCCTATCTGTAGAAATAAATTTTGTGAAATTTTAATTGGGTATAGAGTGAGGTTTTTATGTTTCTTTGTAACCTTACTGAAGCACATCATACCCTTGTAATTAACACTTAAACTTCGGAGAGGCTTGTCTTGAAAAGTTTTGCTTGATAGGCTTTTTCTTAAGACAATGATTAAATGGAGTTGCAAAAATAAATATTAAATCAAAATTATGTGTCATGATAGAAGATAAGGAGGAGAGGAAAAGGTCATGTTGTATCCTTTGTCATCAACTTTCATCAGATCTTACTGCAGTCCTTGCCAACATAGGCACTTGTATTGAACCCAGGAACCTACAGATCTGTTAGTCTGACTTCAGTACCTGGAAAAATTATGCAGAAGATCACACTGGGTGCTATTGAAAGGCAATTAAAGAAGAATGCAATCATCAGGTGCAGTCAACATGGGTTCAGAGGGGGGAAACTCCTGTTTAACTAATTTGATATCCTTCCAGGATAAGCTCATCGTCTAGTGGGAAATGGGAAGGTGGTGACTGTAGTTTTTCTGGATTTTAGTAAGGCCTTTGATAATGTCCATCATAGCATCTTTCTGGATAATTGTCCCAACTGGGGGATGAACAGGTACAATGAGCACTGGACAAAGAACCAGCTGAAGGGCAGGGCTCAAATGGTTGTATTGAATGGGGATATGTCTGATTGGCAACCAGTCACCACCAGTGTTCCTCAGGGTTCAGTTCTTTTGCTCAATATTTTTATCAGCAATCTGGATGCCAGAGTTTAATGCACCATTAGATACCAAACAGGGAAATGCTGTTGACTCTTTCAAGGGCAAGAGGCTTTGTAGAGAGATCTAGATAGATTGCAGCATTGGGCAGTCACCAATGGAATGGCATTTAATGAACAAACGTCAGATTTGCACATGGGGCAGAGTAACACCAGGCACAAGTATAAACTCAGAGTGTAGTGGCTGGAGAGCAGCCCCAGGGATCTGGGGGTGCTTGTTTGATGTCCTCTGTGTATAAACTTAATAATGGAATTTCTACACTTACCTCATTTTACTCCAGTGTAACTCAACACACTTCAAGGTGCTTCTTTTCTTCTTATACAGCTTTCCTTGTCTATTATGCGCATGAAAGCTTTGGCAGCAGAATATAATCAGTGGCAAAAAAGAAGTCCTGAAAGTAAGTAGTGGCTTCCATGTAAGGTATACTCATACAAATATCTGAGAAGTCTCTTTCATCTAGGCATCTTAAACTGTGTATTGAATATCTGCTGATTGTATTTTCATACTCTGACTACTTAAATTCTTCCCACAGCAGCATGTATGTTTTATTTTTATACTTGTTTTGCACTTCAGTTCTAAGTGAACCTAGAATTCACTTTGAATTCTACTATAACTCAATCTCATGTTTCTGGACAAATAAACACATGATTCATATCATCATTCATTAGTCAGTTAAATGGAAAAAATAACTGTGAGACCTCCTAACAAATCTCAGAAGTTCATTATGCTGTTACCCTCCAGCAGGTTTCTCCTTTCTTTGATTTTCTTTCTTTCATTTGTATTTTTGTTTTAGGAGAGAACTACTTTGGCGAATAATTTTGTTCATTCTGTCTTTTAAGAAGTGGACAAACTTTTTATCTTTGCAAGTACTGCTAATAAACGATAATTTGCCCATACATACTTTTAACCATAACACGTTTTTTTTTTTATTTTTGTTTTAATACTTAAAAGAAGTATGTCTTATTATGATGAACTAGCTGAAACTTTGAAGTAAGCCTTTAGTGGTAAGGCCATTACATAGTAACAAAATATCTTGTGTTGGATTTAACAAAGGTCAGAGATTTCGAGTCAAGAAAAGATAGTAGAAGACACTTCAGTTTATTTTAACAGAGGAATCTAGATCACTTACTGATCCTGAGAAGGAAAAACCACTGAGACAAGTAGGTAGTAGCTTTTAAGTTTGTTACGTATTATCAGTCAAAAGATATAAATTCCTCAGTTCTTCAAAATATTTTTTGTGCATAAGTGTCAGTGCTGACTGATTGCATTCTTTTGCAAGCCTGATGTGGCCAGACATGGAAAACAAAACCGTTCAGAATCTGAGTGTGAGTGAAGTTTGTTTTCTCAGATGTCCCATTTCAAGACTTCAGAAATAGTTCACACTAGACTCTCATTAGTATTCTGGTAGCACTCAGTCTTATGCCTCCTGTCAAGGACTTGTTATCATCTTTCAACTCATTAGTAAAACTTACTAGTTAATTTTTAAGTGGACACATTGACTCATTTGACTTTTTTATGACAGAAGAGGCTTGGGTTTTTTAGTGTTTAGAAAATGACAGGAATGTCTTTTAGACAGCAGATGGTGATTTCCAGTATCTTTGTTATTTGTCCAAGTTAGAATGCATTTTCAGATGACCTTTAAAGTAATGTCTCCAGCTTCTTTTGAAGTTTAGTAGACCAAACGTATGACATTGAATTTGGGAAATACTGCTTCTTGGCCACTGCTCATGAATAAGCTGGTGCTTAAAGCAGATTAATTGGAAGCACTTACAGTTTTTTATCTGGGTAGAATACCTGGAGATGTTAGGGTTTCTTATTTAAATATGGAATAAATTTAAATTTTAAGCTATTTGCTTAAAAATATTCTTGAGGCTTGACCTGTTTTTATTGGCTTGCTGACTTGCTTTGCTCAATCATTCTTGTTCCCAGGTGATAAGATTTATTATTAGAAACCTTAACTTTGTGCTAGAGAAATGATGTATGCACATTATAATGCAAAAAATATTTTGCAGCCAAAGCCTTGCCTTTTTGGCTAACTTTCTGATGGGAGAAAAAAAAGGAAGTTGCTGCTAAGAACTCAAATAGAGTTACAATGCTTGTGTGAAAATGAGGAGACTCTATATTTACATCTTTGCTGTCCATCTTGGCTTCTTTCTACTCTTTGTTTTGAAGGAAGAATTACTTATTTAGATAAATTCAGTGTTTTCAACTAGGAATTGCAGAAATACTAATTTCATATAATTTACTAATAGAGCAGGAATGGCAGGTTGTCTTATTTGGTTTCTGCTTTTAGTAATGGCCAGGTCATTTCTTGTAAATGAGGGCCTGACAGCATTTCAATTTTAAACTTTATTTTCAGAAGTTATAACTTGGCAGTTCTACATTTCTTTGGGATGATATTGGCACACAGACTTGAATCCACAATGCAAATTTTTTGTTCAAAGCTTTTACTTTAGTCTCCTTCTAACTTTCTGGTATTGTTTATGTAGTTCTAGAGCTGCAAAATCAGCTGAAGTAAAACTTTTTAACAAGCATTTGGCTTATAAAAATAGACTTCAACTTGTACCTTTGCAAAATAAGGAAGTGGAATCAACCATATTTTAAACTATTTAAAACAGTTGTGGTGTCTGCATAATTTCTGTTTTTCTCTGCAAAATGTTAGTATTACGCCAAATTCCTTTTATTTTAATAGGAGTTTCTGTATAAACATGCACAGTAGTTGCTTTTACATTTGTAGCATCTGGTAGTGTTTTGCTTAGTAATTGTGCTGTGTATCACTAGGCAATTCTTTTTGACATTAAATTTTTGCAAATATAGTGATTCATAACTGAAAAAGTTTTACCTGATAATAGATAAAGCAACCAATGTTCTTTCTGCCATAAATACGTTGTCCCAGTGTCTTAGATCTGTACTGTTCCTTCACTAAGTTAGGGTTACCAATTTCTTTCCTTGAAAGATACGGCCTTCTATTGTGATACTTAAACAATGTGAATATTACACAGTATCACAGTATGTTAGAGATTGGAAGGGACCTCAAAAGTTCATCTAGTCCAATCCCCCTGCCGCAGCAGGAACACCTAGATAAGGTTACACAGGAACGTGTCCAGGAGGGTTTTAAATGTCTCCAGAGAAGGAGATTCCACAACCTCCCTGGGCAGCCTGTTCCAGTGTTCCGTCACCCTCACTGAGAAGAAGTTTCTTCTCAAGTTTAAGTGGAACCTCTTGTGTTCCAGTTTGTACCCATTACCCCTTGTCCTATCATTGTTTGCCACTGAGAAGAGCCTGGCTCCATCCTCGTGACACTCCCCCTTTATATATTTATATACACTAATAAGGTCACCCCTCAATCTCCTCTTCTCCAAACTATAGAGACCCAGCTCCCTCAGTCTTTCCTCATAAGGGAGATGCTCCACTCCCTTAATCACCTTAGTTGCCCTGCGCTGGACTCTCTCCAGCAGGTCCCTGTCCTTCTTGAACTGAGGGGCCCAGAACTGGACACAATATTCCAGATGAGGTCTCACCAGGGCAGAGTAGAGGGGAAGGAGAACCTCTCTCGACCTACTAACCACCCCCCTTCTAATACACCCCAGGATGCCATTGGCCTTCTTGGCCACAAGGGCACAGTGTCGGCTCATGGTCACCCTGTTGTCCAGCAGGACCCCCAGTTCCCTCTCCCCTACACTGCTCTCTAACAGGTTGTTCTCCAATCTATACTGGAACCTGGGGTTATTCCTGCCCAGATGCAGGACTCTACACTTTCCCTTGTTATATTTCATCAAGTTATTCCCCGCCCAGCTCTCCAGCCTGTCCAGGTCTCTCTGGATGGCAGCACAGCCTTCTGGCGTGTCGGCCACTCTTCTCAGCTTAGTGTCATCAGCAAACTTGCTGATAGTACACTCAATTCCCTCATCTAAATCATTGATGAATATATTAAATAATACTGGTCCCAATACTGACCCTTGAGGCACTCCACTAGATACAGGCCTCCAACTAGACTCTGCCCATAGACTACAACTCTCTGGCTTCTCTCCTTCAGCCAGTTCACAGTCCACCTCACTACCTGATCATCCAGACCACACTTCCTCAATTTAGCTGTGAGGATGCTGTGGGAAGCCCATAACTTGGGATTAGGTATCTAAAAATAGTGGGGGGTTTTTTAAGTTTCAAATGAAGGGTTAGGAACCAATAGTAGAAATTGATAATTCCAGGCAGTGAGGGCTCACTATAATTGGAGCCAGGGGGAGTTACATGGCTTCCTTCAAATATGCCACTGAATGTGAATGAAAGCACACCAGTGAATTTTATCATGTGTATGTAGAGTATTCATTTCATTAAAGAAATCTTGCTCTAATAATAGCACAAAACATTACCTCCAACAGCTCTTAAACGTAAGCTTAATTTGGGACCACTGTGCTCAAATCTTTGTGTCATGATGTAGTGTCAGTAATTCTCCAGGTAAAAGGGGTTTTATTGTGACATTCAGTAGTTCTGCTAATTTTCATCTAGGAACAAACACTGCTTTTAAAACTACTGTTCTAAGTCTTCTCAAAGTTTGTGGAGATAAAACTTATAAAATTACCTGAAAATGTGCTTATATACACTTACGAAATCAACTGTATTGTATTTGGTAGATGTTTAATGCTTCAAAAGGAGTGTGATCAGCAGGACAAAGGAGGTGATCCTGCCCCTCTACTCTGCTCTTGTGAGACCTCACTTGGAGTATTGTGTGCAGTTCTGGTGTCCTCAACATAAAAAAAAACATAGAGCTATTGGACCACATCCGGAGGAGGGCCACGAGGATGATCAGGGGACTGGAGCACCTCCTGTATAAAGATAGGCTGAGAAAGTTGGGGCTGTTCAGCCTGGAGAAGAGAAGGCCGCGTGGAGACCTCATAGCAGCCTTCCAGTATCTGAAGGGGGCCTATAGGGATGCTGGGGAGGGACTCTTTGTTAGGGACTGTAGTGATAAGACAAGGGCTAATGGGTTAAAACTTAAGCAGGGGAAGTTTAGATTGGATATAAGGAGGAAGTTCTTTACTGTGAGGGTGGTGAGGCACTGGAATGGGTTGCCCAAGGAAGCTGTGAATACTCCATCCCTTGTGGTGTTCAAGACCAGGCTGAACAGATCCTTGGGTGACATGGTTTAGTGTGAGGTGTCCCTGCCCGTGACAGGGGTTTGGAACTGCATGAACTTAAGATCTTTTCCAACCCTAACTAGTCTATGATTCTACGGGAGGCGTAAAGATTTTCCTTTTTTGTTAAAGGAAAAGCTTTGATTGGAGTAATTATCTTTAAGATGAGGGATTTGGAGCCCAAGCCTGGACAGATAATATTACTGTCATATTAAGATTTCAATCTGTTACGGTAGCTTTCATTCCTACTGTTAAGAGATTCAAATGCTTCACTTTTTCAAAAGTCTTATGATTATGCAGATGCTGCAAGTTGGCATGGAACTGAGAATTGAAGTCCATTGAAGGCTATCAAAATTCAGAATTCAGAAAATATAAGATCCATAAATAGCTGTGTTTTGCAGAAGTATTCTGGGGAAACATTTCCACATCCTTCAATAGTGCAGTACTTTCCAGTAAATACTGCTGTTGCTCAGGGTTGCAGTTGGGATATTGGCCTTGCTGGGGCTTTCATCTCCCTACCTATAGCTGGTTTTTTGAACAGTATTGATGGTGAAATTCTTGTTCTTTAAATATGATGTGCTTGATCAGGACTGTAAAGCCTTCATGAAGTTGTTTAACAAGGTATTGAAAGACTGGAAGGATTTAATTGTCCACATTGGTAATGCTGATAGAATCCCTTCCACTGAAAAACATAGGCATACTTATCTTGACGTATGACTGTAGTTCACATTCAATATTATGTACCTATATACCTGAGCTAGCCCAGGTGTAAAAAATAACGTGGAAGCATTAATACCACAGTTTTTTCAGTCTAATTTAACTTGCTGAAAACTGACAGTAGGTTAGCACAGCAGGACACCATAAAATGTTAAACTGCTGTTTACACCCAAACCAGTTCTTTAGGGGCTACACAAGATTTTCTCCAGCCAGACTGCTTTTCAGTATAAACAAGTCTGTATCATCTAATGCAAAAAATAAAAACCCAAAATTGTTTTCTTTTTCAGTGATTTCTACCAATCCAAATATACTGTTGCCATTAGGAAAAAAAAAGGTAAGTCTTTTTGTTTGTCAAAACATAGTAACTTTTTTCTTCAGAAAGATTTATGTACAGTTGCTGCATTTTCTCATAACTATTCCTGTGGTGCACTACTGCTAGGATACAGTTTATGTTTCTTTAGGCATTGTTATGATGCTTTTCTCCCCCTGTATTATGACTACAAAAATTTCCTAGTTGTAGTGAATATTTTTAACAAAAGGTTTTTATATATTGCATTTCATACTTGATATAAAATAGTGTAACATTATGTATTACACAGAAGTCAGTATTCTTAGATTTAGATTTCTGTGGCAATAATTTGCAAATAACTTATTGAGTTCTTCTAGCCTTGGAAGAAAGAGCAAATCGAGAATGTTTTAGGGTTATCGTTACACTATATTGACAGCACATTGGTATGCAGCGTGACCTGAGAATATTGATGTGGTTATGGTTTTAAAAAACCCCAAACAAACAAAAAAAAAAAAAACAACAAAAAAATCCCCTTTCCCTCAAGAAAAATCCCCACACCACTACTTTTTGGTTTTCTTTTTCCTAGCTGCTTTCCTTTCTCTAGTGTCAGTCATAATAGGAAACTCAAACACAGATCAGTCTTATTATTAAGAAGTCATTTGCTTACACACATTCATTTGATTATATTGCTGTGGAATATTTGATTTAATATTACATTTTGTGCTGTGTTTAGGATTCCGATTTTTTTTCGGATGTTGCATAAATGGAGCATATTTGCTTCTGTAGAATATTCTTAAAATTTTTATTTCTTTGAGATAAATATAAAAGTTCCTCCTGTGGTAACAGGCAGAATATATCCAAATAATATATTAAACAAACCAAAACAAAACTATTAGAAATACTACTTTGTAGAATATAATACACTAATGAAAAACTCAGTCCACTGTGAGTCTGCTCTTCCCTATCCTTAGCAGTGCATATAGGTTCTGGCTGAAGTAGTTTTATTTCTCCCTTTTGTGTCTCCCAGGAATGTCCGTATCACTGAGGACCATATAATTCATGGATGCAGTTAGTCTTTGCAATATCTTTGTTTTTTGAGTGCTATATATTTTATGTTGGTGCAATTAGCATAGGTTTATTCTTGTAAACAGCTGCACTGATAGAGACAATGCAGCCCGGGTACTGCAGATGTTTCCTCCTCAGTCTTTCATCAGATAAGCAGTTCATGTGTGTGCTCCATAATCTGCTTCAGGTCAGAACTTCAAGACACAAATGAGCAGCTGGTGGCAGTATAATTTTAAGTAGCTCAACTGGATTTAAAAGTAGTGTGTCACTCTATAGCTGTATTTAAGAAATTACAGCTAATTTTGGCTCTCTTGAAGGTTTACAGAAGTAAGTTTACCTAGAAAAAATATTACAGACTGGGCTACCTGCAAACCGTAGGTTTACTTGTACTTTTTTATAGTTGCAGGAAGTCAAGGATGATCTTGAAAATGTGCTGTCATCAGTTCAGTTAAAGAATAAAACCCTGGAAGAAGACCTGAAAAGGTAATATAATAATTTCAGTTTATGAATGCTGTAAGCTTTGTTATGACATATTACCTTTTTTGACTGTCCAGGGAAAGTGTTTTATTTGTTGCAACATTTCCTACTTTTCATGTTTTGAAGAGAACAGAAGTGGTACGAAGAACAGAAGCAGTTAACAGATACTCTTAGTATAACTGAGGAAGAGACAAGAAAACAAGTTGAACAAGTTTCCAAGAAAAGGTATTTCCACATTTTTTTTAATTTTGAAAAATTTAAATATCAACAGAGCAAATGAGCAAACAAATATTCTCCTTCTTTTGTTAAATAGATCAAAAATAACTCAGTAATCCGTATTTGAAACAGAAAACGTTGCTATTATCTGCTTATATCCTGTGGTTCAAAGTGTTCAACTCATAACAATAGAAAGCAAGGGATTTTTTGGTTAAGAACTTCTTATTTATTTTATTACATTTCATATTCTACTAGAGCATTTCGTGAACAGAAAATGAAAATCTCGCAACTAAAGGTATATAAGAAAAAACTACTGACTGCTCTGGGGGAATTCCTGGAAGAACATTTTCCTTCTCCAGAGAAAGGTGGAAGTGCTGAAAAGAAGGTATGATTTTCTTAAGAACTATTAAATTTTGAATGTTCAATTAGATGCAAGATCTTTTTTTAAGTGACTAACATAGAATCTGCAGTTACATTTTGAAGTAAGTATAGTTCTTACAGCTGATCCTTTAGGTTTGATATTTTATATTTTCTAGGTTTGATAATGATATTCTTCAGGTCGATTTATATTGTTTAAGGCTGTTCTCAGCTGAGTATTTTCCTTTTAATGCATGTATCCTTTACCCAATTTGATGCATAGCAATGTATTTTTTACTGAACTGCAAGCTGTGCCAAATTTGGAATTGGTGAGGGGTTCGCTCCAAATTGTTCCATTTTCTTTTACTGGACTAGGCAAGTGGATTCATGTTTTCATTGGCAAAGTATATTTTAATTGTCTAACAATGTTTATGGAACAATAATAAGGACAAGTGTTTATAATTACAGTGCAGTTTGGAATGTTAACTGCCAGTTTCTGTTCAGGCAAACTGGACCAAAAATTACCTTAAAACTTTAGGGAAAATAGCATTTTGCATAATAAATTTAAAACCTGCAGTAAAAATAGACCTTTACCATTATTATTTGAAAGATTAGCTCAAAAAGCCTAGGAAAAAAGCAGGGGTTGTTTTTTGGTTTTCAGATATGTAATACAGTAATAGAAAGCTTTTCTTCATTCCACTTCCTTACTATTTCAGACAACCTCATAATATAATTTCTTTAATATAATTGTGCTCTATCTTAAAACTAATTATTTTTATCACTGCTGCTTCCACTGGGGTTTATTCCAGTACATTAGAAACAGTCTCCTAACTTCCAGTCTAAATTTATTGATGTCTAACACAGATTCATATTTTCTCATGCAGTATCTTGTGTTTACTTCTCTTGTATATTTACAGACAGCAATCTTGTACACCCTGCTTCTTTGTTTTGTGAATTGAGCTAGAAAAGCTCTTTTATTTTTCTTCTGTAAGGTAATTTTTTTATTTTTTTCCCCTGGGTTATCGTAGTAAGACCAATTTTCTGGATTTGCTTCCACTTGCAGTCATCCTTTTTGGAACCTGGTAAAAACCAATATTATAAAGAAAAAATAACCTGCTAGCTTACAGTCATCACAAAAGCAGCTAATTACACACCTGTGTTTTTTTCTTCCTGTTAATCTCAACTGATGAACCCTGAGCTTTTTGTTGCTGCCATTGTTAAATTAAATCTTAGATTTGCACAGAAGTATATATATTGCATGAAAAATATCACATGGAGCCTTCAAGGCATGATGTCCATTTTCAAAGTTGTTTTCAATCACTTTCAAACAGAGTATTATATTTTGCTTATACTGCTGTTCTGGTTCCACCCTCCTTTCATCAGGCACCTGCATCGAGGTTTGGGAGTGGGAAGGAAGATTGAATCACAGAAGCCCAGTTTAGCTTCTGTTGCTGAGGCCCAACGCTTTTACTATAGGCAGTGGTTGCAGTAAGAATTATCTTGCATTTTAAATCTCAGATAAAAAGACTGTTTGTTTTTTTTTAAGATGTATGAAAAGTCATATGTTAACAAATATTCTTTATATCAGGAAGAATATGGCAAGAATCTCCTTGGAATGGAGAAGGTGCCTTTTAAGTTAAATAGATGCTGATCTTCCTGCTTAAAAAAAGTGGGAAAAAAGATAGAAATGAAGGAAGAATTTGGGGTGCAGAGAGAGGTAGTAACCACTGTGGATCCAGCTGTGTCCTGGACATCTTTTGCATCGCTGGAGGTGGTGGGAGTCCTCCAGGGTCCATAGTCAGTATAGGAGGTAGTGGGGAGTCCTCCAGGATCTGTAGTTAGTATCTGAGGTGGTGCAAGCCTTTCAGGGTTCGCAGTCAGTATCTGAGCAGAGTGTCCTCAAGAGTATGTAATAGTTGTTGGAGGTAGCTGTCAGGTGGGTGTCCTCATGGAGTGTCTTTCTGGAGTAGTCCTTTTGAAGGTGTGCTTTCCTGGACTTGCGTTCATGGTGATGTTTTTTTGGGTTTGTTTTGTTTTTTTTTTTTTTTGTGATTACCTTTTCCCCCTTTTACGGGTTGGAGGGAGTACCTCTGTTCTTAATGTCACATACTACATGTTCCTGGTGGACCAGTTTTGCAGCAATTCTTGGGATAATGAGCAGCAATTCCTCACACCAGACCTCAAGGTAATGGAGAGAAGACTCTTAGCTCTTCCCACCCATCTCTAAGGCAATGGATGATGGAGTCCCATTTCAGTTCCTCACACCCTTCTCTAAGGCAATGGACACTGAGTTTTACCTCAGCTCCTCCCACCCATCTCTGAGACAATGGTCAGTGGAGTCCCATTTCAGCTTCTCACACCAATCTCTCAGACAGTGGGCCATGGAATCCCATCTCAGATTCTTTCTCAGCAATCTTTGAGACAGTGGAAAGTGCAGTCTGATTTCAAATCAGTCTCTCACAGCTGAGTGCGCAACCCTGCCCTGCCAGTGCCTGCATTACCTCTTTTATTTTGTTGAATGTAATGTGGATGGGGGTGGGGAAGGATAAAATAGAAAAATAAAAGAATCAGGTTCACCATGCAGCAGCACAAGCAGTTTTGTTGGTGTTGCTGCCTAAGGAATCCTTATCAGTTCACAGGGAAATGGATTGATTTGCTTGCTATTAAAACAAGTAATTTTCTAATGATATTTTATTACAGGCTTTTTTTCCCCCAAAATTGAAATCAGATTAAACAAACATTCATAAGCAAATAATGAAATATATTTAGTCTTGAGCTGTGTCAAAATGTGTATTATAAACATATTCCTAAAGTTCACAAAAAGCCATTTTTTCCTAACAGGTCATATGAATATGTTTTGCACTGTACTACATTATGAATATAATGTACTTGGTTTTATTTAAACATAAACCCAGATAGATATACATTGATCATTTAAGGTTAATCTCTTTTACAATTAATTTAAAAATTGTTATGTTTAAAGTGTATTATATTGAACTGGTACATTTAAATACTATCTTGTTATTTCTGTCACAACTAAACCTAAGCAAAATTCTCCATCTGTTGTGTACTATGCAATCAAATAATTGTGTGATTATTTTTATTTGTCAGTTAACATTTTTCCTGACTTTAGGTTTGGGTTTTGTTATTTCATCTGGGGTGTCGTTATTGTTGCAGAATTCTCAAGAAGAGCCAGTTGTAGAACTGAAACCACTGCAAGTTATATTAGAGGTGAGATGGCTTTGATGTATAGAGATTCGGGGGATTTTCCAATACTCAGATCTGACCATAATACATTAATAAGATAAATAACATCATATGACATACAGTTCGAATCATAGAATCATAGAATAGTTAGGTTGGAAAGGACCTTAAGATCATCAAGTTCCAACCCCCCCTGCCATGGGCAGGGACACCTCGCCCTAAACCATATTACCCAAGGCCTCGTCCAGCCTAGCCTTGAACACTGCCAGGGATGAAGCATTCACAACCTCCCTGGACAACCTATTCCACTGCCTCACCACCCTAACAGGAAAGAATTTCCTCCTTATATCCAATCTAAACTTCCCCTGTTTAAGTTTTAACCCATTACCCCTTGTCCTACCACTACAGTCCCGAAGGAAGAGTCCACCCCCAGCATCCCTATATGCCCCCTTCAGATACTGGAAGGCTGCTATGAGGTCTCCACGCGGCCTTCTCCAGGCTGAACAGCCTCAACTTTCTCAGCCGATCTTCATATGGGAGGTGCTCCAGTCCCCTGATCATCCTCGTGGCCCTCCTCTGGACTTGTTCCAACAGATCCATGTCCTTTTTATGTTGAGGACACCGGAACTGTACACAGTACTCCAGGTGAGGTCTCACAAGAGCAAAATAAAAGGGTAGGATCACTTCCATCGACCTGCTGGTCACGCTCCTTTTGATGCAGCCCAGGATACGGTTGGCTTTCTGGGCTGCAAGCGCACACTGAAGCCAGCTCATGTTCATTTTCTCATCAACCAGCACCCCCAAGTCCTTCTCCACAGGGCTGCTCTGAATCTCTTCTCTGCCCAGCCTGTAGCTGTGCCTGGAATTGCTCCGACCCAGGTGTAGGACCTTGCACTTGGCATGGTTAAACTTCATGAGGTTGGCATCAGCCCACCTCACAAGCGTGTCAAGGTCCCTCTGGATGGCATTCCTTCCCTCCAGCGTATCAACCGAACCACACAGCTTGGTGTCATCGGCAAACCTGCTGAGGGCCCACTCAATCCCACTGTCCATGTCAGCGACGAAGATGTTAAACAAGACCGGTCCCAACACTGATCCCTGAGGGACACCACTCGTAACTGGTCTCCAGCCAGCCATTGAGCCATTGACCACAACTCTTTGTGTGCGACCACCCAGCCAGTTCTTTGTCCACCGAGTGGCCCATTTATCAAATTGATGTCTCTCCAATTTAGAGATAAGGATGTCATGTAGGACAGTGTCAAACGCTTTACACAAGTCCAGGTAGATGACATCAGCTGCTTTACCGCTGTCCATCAGTTCCATAGCCCCATCATAGAAGGCCATCAAATTGGTCAGGCAGGATTTCCCCTTAGTGAAGCCATGCTGGCTGTCACCAAGCACCTTGTTGTTTTTCATGTGCCTTAGCATGCCTTCCAGGAGAATGTGCTCCAAGATTTTGCCAGGCACAGAGGTGAGACTGACTGGTCTGTAATTCCCTGGGTCATCCATTTTCCCCTTCTTGAAAATGGGGGTTGTATTTCCCTTTTTCCAGTCGTCACCTGACTGCCATGATTTTTCAAGTATGATTTTTCAAGTATGATGGCCAGCGGCTTAGCAACTTCATTTGCCAGCTCCTTCAGGACCCGCGGATGGATTTCATCAGGACCCATGGACTTGTGCACGTTCAGATTTTTAAAATGGTCTCCAACCAGATCCTCTCCTACAGTGGGCCCAAGGTCTTCATTTTCCACAGTCCCTGCATCCGCCTTCCAAGACATGGGTGGTGGGATCAGAGCCTTTGCTAGAGAAGACTGAGGCAAAGAAGTCATTCAGAACCTCAGCCTCCTCCAAATCCTGTGTAGCTAGTTCACCCAAGAGCGTCCTGAGGGGGCCTACGTTCTCCCTAATCTGTTTTTTATTTGCTAGGTACCTGTAGAATCCCTTCCTGTTATCCTTAATATCCCTAGCCAAGTTTAATTCTAACTGGGCCTTAGCTTTCCTAACCTGGTCTCTAGCTTCCCGGACAATAACCCTGTACTCTTCCCAGGCTTCCTGTCCTTGCTTCCACTTTCTATAAAGCTCTTTTTTCTTTTGAATTTTCCTCAGGAGCTCCTTATCCATCCAAGTAGGTCTCCCGGCTCTCCTGCTGCACTTTCTTCTAGTTGGGATGCAACACTCCTGAGCTTGTAGCAGGTGATTCTTGAAGACCAACCAAGAGTCTTAAGCCCCCCTGCCCTCTAGGGCTATATCCCATGGAACCTTACTAAGCAGGTTCCTGAAGAGGCTGAAGTCTGCTTTTTTGAAGTCTAGGGCAGTGAGCTTGCTGCATGCTCTTCTCACTGTCCTAAGTATCTCACATTCAACCATCTCGTGGTCGCCGCATCCATGTACCAGTGCACCCCTGTACATGGGTTGTTCTTAACATCGCCCATTTTAATGTACTGGTACATGGGGTTGTTCTTCACATCGCCCATGTTTAATCACATCGCCCATTTTAATCCCATTGCAAGTTCATTAAAATTAATTTGAACTCCAAAGCATAATTTTAAAGGAGCATTAATAATCATTTCACTAACTTTGTTCCTTCTTAAGTGTGTCATTTGAAGTGAATTTTCCTGTTCCTCCCCCATCCTAATTCTTCAGGCAGTTATAAGCATCTATATGTAAGACCTCCCTGGGGGAAATTGTTTTGGTTTCTCACCTCCACCCGCCTGATGGAAAACTTGATTAATAACAGTGTTCTGGTATTAAGATGCTATGATCTGGTCACTATGACATTGTTTTACTTTAAAGCCCTGACTTTGGACTTACATCATCAAAATAGTTTTACATGCTTCAAGTATCCCAGCATGTCTGTTAATTCCAAATTAGGTAGAGTTTGAAAACAGAATTTAAAATAGCCATGTTCCCTATGGAATTGAAAATTTAAAGTTCTTCTAATGCTTTAAAATTGCCCTTCATATTTTTCTGATATTGTTAATCTCCTCAAAATGTGAGCACACCCAAGTAATGTTGGATTTACATTTGATAAAACATAGTTCCAAAAATTCTGACTTATTTTAATTTTAACTGTCTTGGTGTAATCTATCAATGTCCCTTATCTTTTTTTTATGGGAGGTTGTTTTTTTTTCTGCTGAGCAACTTGGTTTTAACTTCAAGTCCCTGTTAAATTTCAAAAGTGTCATGTTAGATATAGATAATGCTTTCTTAAAGAGACAAATACAAATTTATCTTTGTATTATAATTACAGATTTAGGATTTGCTGTTGTACAGCCATAATTCAGTCAAAGCATTCTAATCAGTGAATGTGTTCCTAACCATGTCTCGTCAATCTCCCTGTGTGTGTTTGTTAAATAATAAAAGTGCACATTTTTAATAAATCTGTTTTGACAAGCTAGGTATATACACTTATATTATTTAGGTATATCAGTACCTACTTCATTAAGTTAGTGTAAGTAGTAAGCAAGCAGTAACCTCTTTTCTCGTGCAAACTTCAGAATTTCTGTTATAGTACTTTTTATTCCAGTAATGAGCTGTTCTTTTAAACAGTTTGAGGAGTATTCCTTTCTGGTTTAGAATTTAATGAACTAGTTTAAGATTTGAAAAACAGTTTGCAATACAAACACATGTCAAATTATAATTCTTCAGAATCTTCTGAAAAAGAACAGTATTTTTCTTGTTTAATAGTAATTAACAGCGAGACCTGGACAGGCTGGAGAGTTGGGCAGGGAGAAATTTGATGAAATTCAACAAGGGCAAGTGTAGAGTCTTGCATCTGGGGAAGAACAACCCCATGTACCAGTACAGGTTGGGGACTGACCTGCTGGAAAGTAGCGAAGGGGAAAGGGACCTGGGGGTCCTGGTGGATAGGAGGATGAACATGAGCCAGCAATGTGCCCTTGTGGCCAAGAAGGCCAATGGCATCCTGGGGTGCATTAGAAAGGGTGTGGTTAGTAGGTCAAGAGAGGTTCTCCTCCCCCTCTATTCTGCCTTGGTTAGGCTGCATCTGGATTATTGCATCCAGTTCTGGGCTCCTCAGTTCAAGAAGGACAGGGAACTGCTTGAAAGAGTCCAGCGCAGAGCCACAAAGATGATTAAGGGAGTGGAACATCTCCCTTATGAGGCGAGGCTGAAGGAGCTGGGTCTCTTCAGCTTGGAGGAGACTGAGGAGTGACCTCATCAGTGTTTACAAATATGTAACGGGTGGGTGTCAGGAGGGTGGAGCTAGGCTTTTTTCAGTGATATCCAGTGATAGGACAAGGGGTAATGGGTGTAAACCGGAGCATAGAAGGTTCCACGTTAACATCAGGAAGAACTTCTTTACTGTGAGAGTGACAGAGCACTGGAACAGGTTGCCCAGGGGGGTTGTGGAGTCTCCCACATTGCCCGCCTGGACAAGTTCCTGTGTGATGTACTCTGGGTTACCCTGCTCTTGCAGGGGGGTTGGACCAGAGGATCTCTTGAGGTCCCTTCCAACCCTTGGGATTCTGTGATTCTGTAATGGGTAAAAAATAAAAAGTCCAATAGTGAGGAGTTTTTCTTCAGCAATAGAGGCAGACTGAGTATTTTGTACATACTGAAATTGGGAAAGCTATAACATTTAGAAGCTCTGAGTAGAAAGATTAAATTAATGGGATGAATAGAGAGAGCACTGTGGGATGGGTAAGGTTATTTAATCTAATGTGTGCAGTATTCCCTATGAGCAATAATATGAGGGCATAAACATGGTCTCTAGGAATGGGAAAAAAAGTCAAAACTCTTATTCATTTTTTACTTCATTAACTAATGCTATATTTAGATAGGAACAATGGAGTAAAGAAGGGTCAGGAGGAGGTGAGTTTTAAAGTGCTTGTCCTGCCCTAACAAGTAGTGATACGAATTTGGATAATCCATTTATGAAATGAGGATTTTATGTGCAAATATGAAGAAGTTAAGGTAGGACTATGATGTTTAACTTCACAACTGCAAACATATTTCTTTCTAACACTACACACAGAAGGGCACAAAATACAAGAATTTTTCCCAGTCTAAAATGACTTTTATATTTATAGTGAAATTTAGAAAAATTGTACAACATTCTTCTCTGCTAACATGCGAAAGGATCATGGAGAAATACCATTTATTGACAGGAAGTCATTATGGTTTTGAGGCAAGTGATGAAATCTATTTTTCCCTCTTATGCTTTTAATCTTAAGTTAATGGACACTAATTCAAGGATTAATTATGTAAGGATTTACCACCCTCATGTTCAGATTTTTTACGCATTTACAATTATAACTCTGTAAATTACCCTCTGATAATTTTTGACAGTGGAAAAATTGGTTTGGGTAAAGGAGAATTCTGCAGTCTTGTATTTCTTATGTTGTTTATGTAAGTATCTTATTACAATAACTTGTATGAATTCAGTTAAAGGAGATAAAAATGTAGCTGTTCTGTTCATTTCCTAAGTCGTCTTCTTTTGCTATTCCAGATTCTTATAGACAAATCAATGAGCACACCGCATGAACCCTATATATCAATCGATGACTCATTTTGGCCACCTTATATGGAGTTGCTCCTGCGACATGGAATTGCTCAGAGACATCCAGAAAATCCAGACAAAATGCGTCTAGAAAACTTTCATGGGTAGTGTGACCTACATCTTTATTTTTAAAGGAAATTGCTCTTGGAGGCTGACATGTGTTCTATGATGATTTTTCTTTAATATCAGTGACAGTTACCTTATGAATTAATCCTAACATGCTTTTCTGTACCTCTCATTGTAGTCCATGGCTGCACAAAAGTTTACTGATTTGAATTAATAATTTGGATCTTGGAGAATAAAATATGCTTTCTATTAATCAGATTTGTTTATTGATGTAGTAACTTCAGTGATTTCTCAGTTCATGGAAAAGGAAAAAGTTTAATAAAATCATAGACTGGGTTCCAGTGGAACAACTCTTAAAGACTATCCAATTGCAACCCCCTCTGCCACAGTCAGGGACACCTTCTGCTAGACTAGATTGCTCCAAGCCCTGTTCAACATGGCCTTGAACACTGCCAGGGATGGGGCAGCCACAGCTTCTCTGGGCAACCTGTTCCAATGCCTCTCCACCATCACAGTAAAGAATTTCTTCCTAAAAATCTAATTTAAATCTACTCCAGTTTAAACCTATTACTGTTGTGCTATCACTGCACTTTTTGATAAAGAGTTCCTCCCCATATTTCCTGTAGGTCCCCTTTACAATACTGGCAGGCTGCTATAGATTCTCTATATATTAGAGAAGCCTGGAGCCTTCTGTTCTCTAGGCTGAACAAGCCCAACTACCTCAGCCTTTCCTCATACAGGTGGTGCTACATCCCTGATTGTTTTTGTGGACCTCATTGTCTTCTTGTGTTTGGGCCCCAGAGCTGGACCCATTACTGCATGCTGGGGCCTCACGAGAGCAGTCCTTTTGGTGCAGCCCAGGATATGGTTGCTTTCTGGGCTGCAGGCACAAACTGCTGGGTCATGCTGAACTTCTCGTCAACACCCCGAAGTCCTCTGCAGGGCTACTCTAAATGTCTTCTTTGCCCAACCTGTAGCTGTGCCTGGGATTGCCCTGACCCAGGTGTAGGACCTTGCACTTGGCTTGGTTGAACTTCATGAGGCTGGTATTGGCCACCTCACAAGCATGTCAAGGTCCCTCTGGATGGCATTCCTTCCCTCCAGTATATCAACTACACCACAGCTTGGTGTCATCAGCAAACTTGCCGAGGGCGTGCTCAATCCCACTGTCCATGTCGCTGACAAAGATGTTGAACAGGATCCATCCCAACACCAACCCCTGAGGGACACTATTTGTCACTGGGCTCCAGCTAGACATTGAGCCATTGACCACAACTCTTTGCATGTGACCATCCAAACAGTTCTTTGAGTGGTCCATCCATCAAATTGATGTCTCTCCAATTTAGAGGCAAGGATGTCATGTGGGACAGTGTTGAACTCTTTGCACAAGTCCAGGTAGAATACGTCAGTTGCTCTTCCCATATAGGCCAGTGTTGTGTCCCCATCACAGAAGTCCACCAAATCGGTCAGGCATGATTTGCCCTCTATGAAGCCACGCTGCCTGTTAGCAGTCACCTTATTTTCCATGTGCCTTAGCATAGTTTCCAGAAGGATCTACTCCATGATACTGCCAGGCACTGTAGTGGTCTGTAGTTCCGTGGGTCTTCCTTTTCTTTTAGAAATGGGGATTACATTTCCCTTTCCAGTTACAAGGAACTTCACTGCCACAGCTTCAGAAATACGATGGATAGTGGCTGAGCCACTTTACCTGCCAGTTTCCTCAGGACCCTGTGGTGGGCTGACCCTGGCTGGATTCCAGGTGCCCACCCATGCTACTCTGTCACTCCCCTTCCTCAGCTGAACAGGGGAGAGAAAATACAATAAAAGGATTGTGGATGTAGGTAAGGGCAGGGAGAGATCATTTGTTAATTACCATTATGGGCAAACTTGGCCTAAAGAAAGTGGTTTATTGCTAATGAAATCAGAGTAGGAAATGAGAAATCAAACCTTAAAATACCTTCTCCCCCCACCTCCCTTTTTTCTGGGCTCAACTTCACTCCCGATTTCTCAACCTCCTCCCACCAAGCAGGGGAGCAGGGAATGTGGGTTGTAGTCAGTTCATCACAAGTTGTCTTTGCTGCCCCTTCCTCCTCAGGGGAGGACTTCTGACACTTCCCCTGCTCCACCGTGGGATCTCTTCCATGGGTGCAGTCCTTCAGGAGCAGACTGCTCCAGTGTGGGTCCCTTCCATGGGTGCAGCCCTTCAGGAGCAGACTGCTCCAGTGTGGGTCCCTTCCATGGGTGCAGCCCTTCAGGAGCAGACTGCTCCAGTGTGGGTCCCCACAGGGTCACAATTCCTGCAGCAAACCTGCTCCAGTGTGGGCTCCTCTCTCCAAGGAGCCACAGCTCCTGTTAGAAGCCTGCTTCAGCACAGGGTTCCCTGATCACTGCAGCCCAGGCTACCTCCAATCTTGACTTCTCCAGTAAGTTCTGCATTAGTGAGCAACAGGTCCAGCAGTGCCTCTCCTCTGGTTAGGATCTCCATCTCCTGTACTAGGAAGTTGTCCTCAGCTTCTTAGATGAAGAAACTAAGTATGATGATTGAAATTGGGCTATTTTTTGGAGTTAAGTCTTACAGCTGCTAAAAATTATGATGGAAGTCCTGAACTGGACTCAACAAAGTATTTCACATTATGATTTCATGAGATGATACAAGGTTGCATGGGGGAAGAAGACAGAACCAAACTAATATAAATTCTAGCAAAACTGCTCTTTTTTAGCTAACAAAAATAAAATCATTAAGTTTTGTGTGGTTTTGAGTGAATGCTGTTCATTTTACCCACATAATTGGTTATTAGGTGTAAGTATAGGTCCCAGTGTTCACTGTTGTGCATGAACATTGACCTTTTATTTCATACTGCTTGCTCAATCGCCCTCTGTTATTCAAAGTCTAGCTCTAATGTTTGACTAATCTATGCACATTTACCTTACAGTATTTTTAACTATTTAAATAGTTAAGTTGCTTGGCTTTGCTCTCTACCATTGTCCCATTAGATCTTTTTCCCTCATTTGTTCATAAGTACTTCGTATACTGCAGTCCTTTCACCTTACTACTAATATTATTAAGCTCAAATACTTCACTGACCCTCGGATGCCTCCTTCTGTGGTGACATTGTTAAGTTGAAGAAAAAATGTTAACATTAAGTAGCTTTTCTAGTTCTATAAGGAAAAAAAACCAACAAACTACACCACCATTCCCCCCCCAAAATCCCAAATCACTGAGAAAAAGTAAAGATAGTCTATAAATTGGTGCTTTACAGAAGTTGCAATATTAATTTTCATAACACAAAATCAAATGTCATCCAAGTAAATTATCAGAATAGATTTAAAAGAAAACACTTCATATAAAGCTTTATATTAAATTATCGGATTCACCACCATAAAATGTGTTGTAAAGGTTAAGTAGAAATTTAAAAAAAATGCAAATTTGCAGAATTTAGATTCACAAGTTGTTATTAAAGAAAACTGACAGTCAGAAAACCCTATGCTGCTAATCACTGGACCCTGAGGAGATATACATAGATATCCTTGATACCTTCCTGCAGCTCCACAGTATCCTACTGCATTCCCTAAAGCCTTTTGGCTTAGGCGTGGGACATGCTCGGAAGCCCAAACATGAATGTAGAACTTTTTCCTTCTGCTTAGCTGAGCCACACACCACAGCAAAAGAAAAGCTGTAGAAAGAGGAAATGAATTTTCTCTCACAGCCTAAAATGCCTTATCAGTTTTTAATGGAAATTGGTTCAGACTGAAATAGAGCTAACTGGAAGCTGTAGCTCCTAGAAAAATCCTGGCAAGTGAAGGGAGTAAGTTCTCAACAATTAGGGAGGTTGGGCAGTACGTCTAAAGACAGAGTCAGGTTCTTCTCCTCACACGTCTAAATGAGAGTTGTTTAATTGGAATTAAGACATCCATAAAAGCTAATATCGGGACTCTACCTATGTGCATGCTATGAAATAAAGATTTGTTTAGCTTAATGTCAAATTTTAGCTCTACAAAGCTAACATTGAAAACATATGGGAAAGAACACTCAGAGCTACCTGTCTGAGTAAGATGAAAATCTGATCTAACCCGCAGTCACTCTATAGTGGGTAGTGTAGGCATGGATAGTTACCACCTTTCTTGGAGGAGAGATACTGGCAGGACTACTTTCAGCTAAGTGGACCCTTCCGTCACTTCACTGGTCACAAGTCAAGGGCCAAAAATGAACAACCTGCATTTACTTTCTTTAGATAAGTACATAAAGTACATTTGCTACATTGATGGCTTGGTTTTGTGAGCTAAGATTTGGGAAGGGCTTTAACCACGCTTACTACAAGCATGATGACCAAGGGCATGTGGGATATGCAAATCCAGTTGGAAAAAAGGGTGCTTAGGCAGTCAGGAAGTGTTCAACCAGGACTGTCATGTCCTGAGCAATCTCCAGCTACCCTTGTGCTGATCCACCCGCATGCAAAGTTGGATCTGCAGCTTCCCATGCACCTCATCACCTACCGTTTCGACCCCTGCCTGTCCATACAGAGAAGTGAGAGTGAGCCCTTCCAGCCTGCACAGTGGATTTTTTAGGTGAAGCGCAGCTTGAGCAGAGCTGGTCCCATCCTTTACACCTGAAGTTTAACTGCCACGGCCTAGCTAGCTAGGACGGTGACAGCAAAGTCCACAGGTTTTTTAAGAGTGTCCTTCTCTGCGATGGAAGACCATGCAAGGCTAGACAAGCTCCATCAGCCTTCGTCTGAAGATAAGAGTTCCTTTTCCTATGAGGAAGGCCTGTCTTCACTAATGAAGATTCAGGAAGGGCTTTAACCCACACATTCTGAACAAGACTGTCATCTCCTGGGTCAATCTCGAGTGACTGATGACGCAACAGCACAACATCAAGCGTCTAGAAGGGATTCTGACTTAGAGGTGTTCAGTCACAAGCCCTCAGATGGTAGCCTCGCACCAGTGGCTCCTCAGCCAAGCACACTCCCCAGGGGGCTGAACCTGCGGTTCCTCTCATACTCAGCAGGATTACTACTGCAACACCGTATCATCAGTAGGGTAAAACTAACCTGTTTCACAACAATCTAAACCCAGCTCACGTT